CCGTACGTGGTGTTGCACTGGTGTAGGTGGTCATGGCCTTGTCCCCCGTATGTACGTGGTGTTGCACTGGTGTAGGTGGTCGTGGCCTTGTCCCCCGTACGTACGTTGTGGGGAGCAACTGAGAGCAACTTGGACTAGACTAAGTTACTGGAATTAAGACTTATTCTATGCATCTGCTCTCCCACAATATGGCGCTGAGAAGGGAGTAACAGCTTCTACACAGCTGCCTCCAGTTCAACCAATAAACTGTAGGACCTGCTCCTGATTGGAGGAGAGCAGCGTACTCGGCGTGTGGGTAGCAGAGTTGGGATTGGTGGAAGAGGACTATAAAGGAGGAGAGAGACAACATGCACCAGGAACATCTAAGAGGAACATCTATCTGAAGGAATACCTGTGCAGCCCCCGAGAGAGCCGGCCGGCGGTGTGCCGCTCCCCCGCGGAAGTGGGGAAAGTGGCTAGGGGGAACCGCCCTTCCACGGAGGTGGAAGGGTCGCTAGCCAACCCGGGAAGAACCAGCAGCAAACCCGGGAAGGGCCCAGCAGACAAAAGAACAGCGCAGGGTCCTGTGTCGTTCCTCCACGAAGAGGGGGAGCGACATAATGGTGCCGTGACTCGGATATGAAGCCTAGGCAGGGTTTAGTGTCGTTCCTCCGTGAAGAGGGGGAGCGACAGTACGTGGTGTTGCACTGGTGTAGGTGGTCATGGCCTTGTCCCCCGTACGTGGTGTTGCACTGGTGTAGGTGGTCATGGCCTTGTCCCCCATACGTGGTGTTGCACTGGTGTAGGTGGCCATGGCCTTGTCCCCCGTACGTACGTGGTGTTGCACTGGTGTAGGTGGCCATGGCCTTGTCCCCCGTACGTACGTGGTGTTGCACTGGTGTAGGTGGCCATGGCCTTGTCCCCCGTACGTACGTGGTGTTGCACTGGTGTAGGTGGTCATGGCCTTGTCCCCCGTACGTACGTGGTGTTGCACTGGTGTAGGTGGCCATGGCCTTGTCCCCCGTACGTACGTGGTGTTGCACTGGTGTAGGTGGCCATGGCCTTGTCCCCCATACGTGGTGTTGCACTGGTGTAGGTGGTCATGGCCTTGTCCCCCGTACGTACGTGGTGTTGCACTGGTGTAGGTGGTCATGGCTTTGTCCCCCGTACGTGGTGTTGCACTGGTGTAGGTGGTCATGGCCTTGTCCCCCGTACGTGGTGTTGCACTGGTGTAGGTGGCCATGGCCTTGTCCCCCGTACGTACGTGGTGTTGCACTGGTGTAGGTGGTCATGGCCTTGTCCCCCGTACGTACGTGGTGTTGCACTGGTGTAGGTGGTCACGGCCTTGTCCCCCGTACGTGGTGTTGCACTGGTGTAGGTGGTCACGGCCTTGTCCCCCGTACGTGGTGTTGCACTGGTGTAGGTGGCCATGGCCTTGTCCCCCGTACGTGGTGTTGCACTGGTGTAGGTGGTGAAGCTGGCTCTGTCTCCTGGGGTTTTATGCTTACAAATCTGCTAGCATTGGGAAGGACTCAATTATTTCCCATCATTCTAACCACACAGGCCCCTCAGCCTATTCAAGATCACCAGCCCCTTCTGGGCTGGCAGCCCCGGGGCCCGTGCAGTGCTCCGTCGCTTTGGGCACATCAGGGGACGCGCACGGGAGCGCCGTGGCGCAGAAAGCCCCCTCGTGCACCGAAGTCCCCGCTGCTCTGCCAGGAGCAGGATTGTCTCCACTGAAGAGTATTCCTGAAGCTCCAGCTGCGTCCCCACCCTGGGCTGGGTGTTTTTTAAGATTTATTTATTTTTTGAAAGGCCGAGTGACAGAGAGGCAGAGGCAGAGGCACAGAGAGAGAGAGAGAGAGAGAGAGAGGTCTTCCATCCACTGGTTCACTCCCCAGATGGCCACAATGGCTGGAGCTGAGCCAATCTGAAGCCAGGAGCCAGGAGCTTCTTCTGGGTCTCCCATGCAGGAGCAGGGGCCCAAGCACTTGGGCCATCTTCTACTGCTTTCCCAGGCCACAGCAGAGAGCTGGATCAGAAGTGGAGCAGCCGGGACTAGAACTGGAGCCCACATGGGATGCCTGTGCCACAGCACCGCTCCTCCACATCATCTTTTAATTCCATTTTTCCATGCACTCGCTGACGTAACCTCGATAGACACACAGTTTAGAAATGCTTTTGGTGAATCAGCTTTGAACACACCCTGCTGGGCCCATTCTCCAAATCTAATTGTTGAGCACAGTTTGTTGGCCAGCACGCCGAGGACCCGTCTGCTGAAAGTGAGATTAAGAATTAAAACAAAGTCGCTGCTTTTAAAAAGATTTATTTATTTTATTTGAAAGGCAGAGTGAGAGAGAAAGCGAGAGAATTCTTCTCAGAGAATGAGAGGAGAGAATCTTCCATCCATTGGTTCACTCCCCAAATGGCCTCGACAGCTGGAACTGGGCCAGACTGAAGCCAGGAGCCAGGAGCTGCAAGCGGGTCTCCCAGGTGGGTGCAGGGGCCCAAGCACTTGGCCATTTTGCACTTTCCCAGGCCATTAGCAGGGAGTTAGAAGTAGAGCAGCTGGGACCAGAACCAGCACCCTCTATGGATGCTGGTGCTGCAGGCAGCGGCTCAGCCTCCTACGCCACAGTGCCAGCCCCACAGCCACTGTTTCTCAAAGATTTGTCTTATTTCAAAGGCAGAGCAATGGAGAGAGAGCAGGAGAGAGTGAGCTTCTATCCAGTGCTGCACTCTCCGAATGGCTGCAATAGCCAGGCTGAGTCAGGACAAATCCGGGAGCCAGGAGCTCCATCTGCACCTGCCGTGGAGGCCGGGGCCCCAGCACTTGGGGCGTCCTCTGCTGCTTTCCCAGGTGCATTAGCAGGGAGCTGGTTCAGAAGTGGCTGAGCCGGACTCGAACCAGCACTCACATGGGGTGCCGCTGTCGCCGGCCGTTGCTTAGTCTGCTGTACCACAGTGCCTGTGCCCATCACAGCGACAAGGAGCGGCTTCGGTGGAGCGAGAACTCGGCACCCGGCCGCGCAGCCCCTCGTAACTGTTCTTTCCAGAGAACGAGCGTGGAGCCGTGGCTGGCACATAAGTCGATGTTACACCCAGGGGGAGGGCCAGGCAGAGCAGACAACTTCACGTTCTCTGTTCTTAGGAAAACGTTCTGGTGTGTGCGCCTGTTTGTCCACGCGCTGAGACAGGCCGAGTCCCTGCTTCCGCCCAGCTGCTGGTGGTCTCCTCCTTCCAGGGCCGAGCGGTCGCTGGCTGTGGACGCTCGGCGTCCCGCGGTGTCGCCCTCCTGGAGTAAAGAATCGGGCTCCGGAGGGCGGTGAGTGCGGGCCATCTCTTTCCCGCGTGGAGTTCAGACCCCGTCTCTCCCTCGAGATAGAACAACACAGAACTTCACCCTCTGAGGTCGGTGGAGGTGTAGCATCAGTGCCAGTTACAGGAGGCGAAGACTGCGGGCAGGGGGACTTCCAGATGGGCCGGGCGGGACGTGGCTGTGTTTATGTACTCACTGGTTGAAGCACTTAGCATAAGCGGGGAGTTTGATACCATATCGTCGGCTGGTTTTATTTAGTTAGTTGAAAGAGTTAGAGACACACAGAGAGAGAGAGAGAGGGAGAGACAGAGAGAGACCCTCCATCTGCTGGTTCACTCTCCAGATGGCTGCTACAGCCAGGGCTGGGCCAGGCCGAAGCCAGGAGCCAGGAACTTCTTCCAGGCCTCCCGCGTGGGTGCAGGGGCCCACGGACTTGAGGCATTGCTGCTGCTTTTACCAGGCCTTTAGCAGAGAGCTGGATGGGAAGTGGAGCAGCCGCTGGCGCCACGGATGGCCACAGGCTGACTGCGACCGGAGTTTTGTGAAGGCGTCTCCAGTAGGGACATCCCACTCCCGGGAGTCACTGGGAGGGAGGGAGGAAGGGGAGCCGGAAATGCAGACTGTGGGCGATTCCCCGGAATCTACTTCTTCCGAGTTGAAATTCCTCTAAGGAAGTCACGCTCCTCTCTTTTCCCTCCTCCCCTGCCCACGTCGCAGCAGAGGCTGCCGGCGAGTCAGGGACCCGAGCAGAACCACAGCGAAGTCGTCCACAGTCGGCCGACCGCCGGGATCCCAGGGACGGCCGGTGGGGGTTGAAAGGAAGTGGTGTGGTCTGCGTGGTCCTGGTCACTGGGCTGGCCCGCCCCTCTGCTGCGCGTGAGCCCGGAGCCACACCTCGGCCCCCTGTCTCCGTCGCATTCTCCTTCCCCTCCTCTCAGAATGTGTGCCGTCAGCTCGGTGCCAGTGATGGAACCTGGGGCCAGCAGCTTTCTGCAGAAACGTTAACTGCTCATTCCTCGCTGGCGCTTGATACCGTTATTCAACGGCTGTAAATAAATGCTAATTAACGAAATGTCAGTTGACTTTGAGAAGCAGCTGCAGATGGCTTCTACTTTTCCAAAACCAGTTCCGTCTTGATCAGCAGCAGATGAGGAGCCGAGGTGTCTGACAGGCGCCATCCATCATGGCCCCAGCACATGCATTTTAAATCAGGCTCCGTGCGATGTCGGCTGAGTGATGTATTTGAATTGACTAACTGATGCCTAATGGGCTCATCATAGATGGGCCTTCCTGATGGATGCTAAATATAGTTGATAGATATTTCTTAAAGGAACCACAAAAAGGGAAGGAAAAGGTAGCAACCGGCATAACTGATCCACGCGGAGCCGTCTCGCACCCGCCTCGGTTCGAGGCATTTGCACACAAGCGCGGGTTCTCACCGAGAAACGTTTCGGGCCAAAGAGATGTTTATGGGCTAAGAGGGAAGCCCCACTCCCGAACAGAAAACTGTTGAAGTCCGCCGATGCGATCGTGAAGTTTGAATCCGACTGAAGGGAAAGGTCGCCCGCTGGCAGCCGGGACGCTGGCAGCCCAGGGAAGAGGCGACGCCACACGCTCTCCCTTGAAGAGCCGAGACAGCCAGAATGGGGGCGGACTCGGCCTTGAGCTCCCGGCACCACCGATCACCGAGTCGCACTGGACCGAGATGCGCGTGTGTCTGAGAGGACCGAGAGCCAACTTCCCTTGAGCCCAGTGAAAGGTGAAAAGCGCATGTTTTTACCAGAAGAAACGCACCCACTCTGGTTATGCTGGAACATGTTGCAACAAGTCCTCTTCCAAAAACACCTGGAAAACCCATCCGGGACACAAAACGCAAACTACGTTTCACAAGGCAGCCAAGAGCGGCCAGGATAGCCAGAGTTTGCAGCATCAGGCTCCCAGGGAGGGCAGGACCTCATGGAGATGAGCCCCGTACTCTGCGCCGCCTTCAGGGACTTTTCCAGCTGTTGGCATGAAAGCAAGACTGAGCAGAGGGTGGATGCTGAGACGCAGGGAGCCACGGGGCCTTCCGCTGCGTCACAGTTTCTGGAGCCAAACACTGGAGCTCAGGACCGCGGGCAGCCCGAGCCTGAGCGGCCCCGGCCCCAGGGAGGAGAGCTGCGGGGGCACTCTGGTTTCGTTGGGTTCTTGGGGCACCTAGGCAAGGGGCTTCCAAATAAAGCAGAAAGAAGGGGAAAAGGGAGGTGGGGTTTGGGGCAGCGTCCTGGAGGGGAGGCGATGCACAACGCCGCTCAGAGTCCCCCAGGAGGGCAGCTTTGGGGAGACCCCAGGTGCTCGGCTGGCAGGTGCACACGAAGCCTCGCGGCGAGATTACAGCTCTGGGTCAGCGCAGTGCCCGGCTCGTGGAGGTGATCTTGGCTGCGGCCGTCTGAAGACGGGGTGGGTCCTCTGTGGAGAAAGTCAACATTTGCCTAAAGATGTGCAATTTTTCCTAAGCAATACTCTGTGTTCGATAAAATATTACTAGACTTATGAGCAGAACTAAAAATAACAATAGAAACACATCCATAGTGAGGCCAGATCTCAGGATTAGGCATATATTCTTAAAAACCTGATTAGGGGCCGGCACCATGGCTCACTTGGTTAATCCTCCGCCTGCGGCGCCAGCATCCCATATGGGCACTGGGTTCTAGTCCCGGTTGCCCCTCTTCCAGTCCGGCTCTCTGCTGTGGCCCTGGAAGGCAGTGGAGGATGGCCCAGGTCCTTGGGCCCTGCACCCCATGGGAGACCAGGAGAAGCACCTGGCTCCTGGCTTCGGATTGGCGCAGTGCCGGCCACAGCGGCCATTGGGAGAGTAAACCAACAGAAGGAAGACCTTTCTCTCTGTCTCTCTCTCTCACTGTCCACTCTGCCTGTCAAAAAAAAAAAGCAGATTAACCTGCACCAGGACAATAGATACCTGGAGAACCGGAATCTGTGAAGCAGCAGACGGAACGTGCAGAATCGAAGACCTTCGCGGGGGTTTGCTGTGTATGAGACATAACCAGAGGGTCTTGGGTTGGGAGACACGTCAGGCATGAAGCATGCAGACAGCACAGGCCGCCTGGAGCACACGCACGCTGGGTCCCGGGAGGCGGGGGGAGGGGCAGCGGCCGCAGAGTCTGAGGAGACGCCGGCTCGGATTCCACGACTGGCGAAAGCTGTCAGAGAAGTTCTACGAACTCCACACGGGGTGAACACGAGGGGCCCCAAGGTAGGCTCTTTGATGATTAACTCTCTGTAAGCCGTGATCACAAAGCACCCAGAGACAGAGACGATCACCTGGAGGGGGGTCAGTGGGTACCTGGAGGGGCATCAGTGAGACAGTACAGGGAGGGAGCATCAGTGAGTACCTGGAGGGGGCATCAGTGAGTACCTGGAGGGAGCATCAGTGAGTACCTGGAGGGGGCGTCAGTGAGTACCTGGAGGGGCATCAGTGAGACAGTACCTGGAGGGGCATAGTGAGTACCTGGAGGGGGCGTCAGTGAGACAGTACTTAGGGGGGGCATCAGTGAGTACCTGGAGGGGGCATCAGTGAGTACCTGGAGGGGCATCAGTGAGTACCTGGAGGGGGCATCAGTGAGTACCTGGAGGGAGCATCAGTGAGTACCTGGAGGGGGCGTCAGTGAGTACCTGGAGGGGGCATAGTGAGTACCTGGAGGGGGCGTCAATGAGTACCTGGAGGGGGCATCAGTGAGTACCTGGAGGGGGCATCAGTGAGTACCTGGAGGGGGCGTCAGTGAGTACCTGGAGGGGCATCAGTGAGACAGTACCTGGAGGGGCATAGTGAGTACCTGGAGGGGGCGTCAGTGAGACAGTACTTAGGGGGGGCATCAGTGAGTACCTGGAGGGGGCATCAGTGAGTACCTGGAGGGGCATCAGTGAGTACCTGGAGGGGGCATCAGTGAGTACCTGGAGGGAGCATCAGTGAGTACCTGGAGGGGGCGTCAGTGAGTACCTGGAGGGGGCATAGTGAGTACCTGGAGGGGGCGTCAATGAGTACCTGGAGGGGGCGTCAGTGAGACAGTACCTGGAGGGGGCGTCAGTGAGTACCTGGAGGGGGCATCAGTGAGTACCTGGAGGGGGCGTCAGTGAGTACCTGGAGGGGGCATCAGTGAGTACCTGGAGGGGCGTCAGTGAGTACCTGGAGGGGGCGTCAGTGAGTACCTGGAGGGGGCATCAGTGAGTACCTGGAGGGGGCGTCAGTGAGTACCTGGAGGGGCATAGTGAGTACCTGGAGGGGGCGTCAGTGAGTACCTGGAGGGGGCGTCAGTGAGTACCTGGAGGGGAATCAGTGAGTACCTGGAGGGGCATCAGTGAGACAGTACCTGGAGGGGGCATCAGTGAGTACCTGGAGGGGGGCATCAGTGAGACAGTACTTAGGGGGGGCATCAGTGAGTACCTGGAGGGGGCATCAGTGAGTACCTGGAGGGGGCGTCAGTGAGTACCTGGAGGGGGCATCAGTGAGTACCTGGAGGGGGCATCAGTGAGTACCTGGAGGGGGAATCAGTGAGTACCTGGAGGGAGCATCAGTGAGTACCTGGAGGGGGCGTCAGTGAGTACCTGGAGGGGCATCAGTGAGTACCTGGAGGGGGCATCAGTGAGTACCTGGAGGGGGGCATCAGTGAGACAGTACTTAGGGGGGGCATCAGTGAGTACCTGGAGGGGGCATCAGTGAGTACCTGGAGGGGGCGTCAGTGAGTACCTGGAGGGGGCATCAGTGAGTACCTGGAGGGGGCATCAGTGAGTACCTGGAGGGGGAATCAGTGAGTACCTGGAGGGAGCATCAGTGAGTACCTGGAGGGGGCGTCAGTGAGTACCTGGAGGGGCATCAGTGAGTACCTGGAGGGGGCATCAGTGAGTACCTGGAGGGGGGCATCAGTGAGACAGTACTTAGGGGGGGCATCAGTGAGTACCTGGAGGGGGCATCAGTGAGTACCTGGAGGGGGCGTCAGTGAGTACCTGGAGGGGGCATCAGTGAGTACCTGGAGGGGGCATCAGTGAGTACCTGGAGGGGGAATCAGTGAGTACCTGGAGGGGGCATCAGTGAGACAGTACTTAGGGGGGGCATCAGTGAGTACCTGGAGGGGGCATCAGTGAGTACCTGGAGGGGGCATCAGTGAGTACCTGGAGGGGGGCATCAGTGAGACAGTACTTAGGGGGGGCATCAGTGAGTACCTGGAGGGGACATCAGTGAGTACCTGGAGGGGGGCATCAGTGAGTACCTGGAGGGGGCATCAGTGAGACAGTACCTGGAGGGGGCGTCAGTGAGTACCTGGAGGGGGAATCAGTGAGTACCTGGAGGGAGCATCAGTGAGTACCTGGAGGGGGCGTCAGTGAGTACCTGGAGGGGCATCAGTGAGTACCTGGAGGGGGCATCAGTGAGTACCTGGAGGGGGGCATCAGTGAGACAGTACTTAGGGGGGGCATCAGTGAGTACCTGGAGGGGACATCAGTGAGTACCTGGAGGGGCATCAGTGAGTACCTGGAGGGGGCATCAGTGAGACAGTACCTGGAGGGGGCGTCAGTGAGTACCTGGAGGGGGAATCAGTGAGTACCTGGAGGGGGCATCAGTGAGTACCTGGGGGGGGGCATCAGTGAGTACCTGGAGGGGGGCATCAGTGAGTACCTGGAGGGGGAATCAGTGAGTACCTGGAGGGGGCATAGTGAGTACCTGGAGGGGGCGTCAGTGAGTACCTGGAGGGGGCATCAGTGAGTACCTGGAGGGGGCGTCAGTGAGTACCTGGAGGGGGCGTCAGTGAGTACCTGGAGGGGCATCAGTGAGTACCTGGAGGGGGCATCAGTGAGTACCTGGAGGGGGGCATCAGTGAGACAGTACTTAGGGGGGCATCAGTGAGTACCTGGAGGGGACATCAGTGAGTACCTGGAGGGGCATCAGTGAGTACCTGGAGGGGGCATCAGTGAGACAGTAACTGGAGGGGGCGTCAGTGAGTACCTGGAGGGGGAATCAGTGAGTACCTGGAGGGGGCATCAGTGAGTACCTGGGGGGGGGCATCAGTGAGTACCTGGAGGGGGGCATCAGTGAGTACCTGGAGGGGGCATCAGTGAGTACCTGGAGGGGGCATCAGTGAGTACCTGGAGGGGGCATCAGTGAGTACCTGGAGGGGGGCATCAGTGAGTACCTGGAGGGGGCATCAGTGAGTACCTGGAGGGGGGCATCAGTGAGTACCTGGAGGGGGGCGTCAGTGAGTACCTGGAGGGGGCATCAGTGAGTACCTGGAGGGGGCGTCAGTGAGTACCTGGAGGGGGCGTCAATGAGTACCTGGAGGGAGCGTCAGTGAGTACCTGGAGGGGGCATCAGTGAGTACCTGGAGGAGCGTACAAGCCAGAACGAAAGGCAACGGCATCTTTAACGTCAAAAAATGGAATCAAACCAAACGCGCGACTCGGAGGGTGGGCAGTTGGCCTAGCAGTCAGCAGTGCTGGGCAGTCCCCAACACGGGCGGAGAATTCTCAGCGCAGTGAGGGAAGAAGGAAGGTCAGTTTCCCCTCAACCCTGGCGATTCAACCACACATCGCCACAGGGCTGATCATGCACGGGCATGGATCATTTATAGGGCACGTGCTCATTGTGGGACATTAGGAACTTTTCCAAAACAGGGCTACTAATGTCTAATTCTCTTTGGAGTGTCTAATTTGCTACTAAAAACACTGATTAAATTTTAATTTTTGGTTGTATCCTTTTCCCTTCTTAGACGCGACTTCTGCTGGATCTTAAAAGAAGAATTGGCTGTCGTTTTTCTGGAGTCTGCTGCCCACCCGCCCTTTGCTCTCGCTCTGTGTCCCGTGTCTGGTAACTAGTAGCTCCATCCTTTGAAATCTGTCTCGGTTGCCGTTGTCGTGCTTTGTCTACTCGTGCACCTGATTTTGTTGACTGTTAGATTTATCCTTGCACTCGGAAAATCATCTGTAGGAGCATTTAAGGCCCCGAATGAATTGACTGTGTGTCTGTGTCCAGCGAGGATCTATAGTAGCTTCCTAAGGACGTTTGGAAGAGCTGTCACCTCACACCAAGGTCAAGGCTGAGGGTCCTCGATCCACCTGCTCGTCTGCTGGGAGGCTGTGGCCTCGTGGCTTTTTGACGCCCGCGGTTACTCCTTTGAGGTTCAAGTTTGTTCTAAGAGTGTTTCCTGCCTGCCTTTCTCCCCTCTCCCCTGCCCCCGCCATTTTATTTGACGGGCCAAGGGACAGCGTGAGAGACAGAGGAAGATCTCTCACCCATCGGCTCATTCCCCAAATCCCTGCAGCAGCCAGGGCTGAGGCTGAAGCCAGGCGCCCAGAGCTCCCTCCAGGTCTCCCACGTGAAGCCCAGTCCTCAGCCGTCTCTGCTCCCCCAGGTGCACATCAGCTGGGAGCCGGACGGGAAGCAGGGTAGCTCAGACGCAAACCAGGGTCCGACAGGACACGGCAGCCCAGAAGGGGCTTCTGGCTGCTCTCAACACCAACCCCGACCGAGGGGTGATTTCTCCATGCGGACGTCTCACTCACGCAGGCCCTGAGCCTCCCAGGCCGCGTACCCCAGGGAGTCAGAGTGGACTCTTCTCCAGGATCAGAAAATTCCTCAGGGCGAAGTTGCTTTCGTCCCTGCCTGATGTTCCCCGCTTTGTGCCGGGAAGTCCTGGTCTCCGTAGCCGATGTTCTTGGGGAGAGCGCTCTGCGTCCCACTCAGCCCGCACGACGTAACTGCTGCTCAGACACGCATCCCATCCGGGCAGTGAGCGCCTCCGCCTGTGCTCCCGGAACCGCGCGCTCCAACGGGCGCCGTGCACGCCGTAAGCTGCTCATAGCAGTGAACGCGTCACCTCCGTGGTGGAAAGCAAACGAGAGACCAAATCCCTGCAGGCCGCTGCTGTCTCGGATGAGGCCGCGCTGTGACGGCTGCGTGCTCCCGGTCACCGCGTAGCCAAGCGCCTGTTAGGGCTCCGCTCGGCCGAGGCAGCCAGCCGTGGCTCACGGTCATCTGCAGCCCGTTTCGTGAGTAAGGTGTCACCGGGACACAGACGCACCCACTCCTCTCCATCAGCCACCAGGACAGAGCCCAACAGCTTCAGCAGAGCCCGATGGCCCATAGCACCTGCGGCCCGGATGGCCTGGCTGTAGGGTCACCTCCGGCCGGCGGAGCCTCCGGGTGCAGCTCGGTGCCAGGCTTTGCTGCATCGGGCTCCTGCGGCTTTGAATCCCGGGAGCACGGCCTCGGAGCGGCAGCCTGAGAAGAAATTCTCGTAGTAACGTGGTCACTTCACGGTTGCTCTTACAGCTCAGAAAACCTTCCCTTCATCGGCTCCCAACTTTTTGAAAAAGAAAGCGTCTTCCTCTTCATGTGTAAAATCAAGTTCTTCGCCTTCCTGACCTGGCACTTGCCGGGGATACAGAGAGGCCCCAGGCATGGTGAGCCACGGCGGCCAGGCAGGACAAGGACCAGCAGAGAGCCTGGCGATAGGGGAGGTCAGCGGACAGCCGCTCCTCCTCCGCCCGGGGCTGGCACGTGTGAGAGGCAGAGGGAACCAGCGCGGCGCTAATGCCGAACACGGGATAATTTCCTGAGACCATTCCTGCTCCACGGGGCCAGGAGGCGGACCTTAGCCGAAAAAGTCAAAGGAAAGAGAGGGGAGGGCTGGGCGTGTTGCCGGGTGCTGCGGCTGACGCACCGCGGGTGGCGCCTGCGCCCCATCCTGGGTCGCCTGCCTGGCTCCCCACCGAGCTCCGGGCTCATGTGGCTGGGAGCAGATCGTGTGCTGGGGGGCCCTGTCGCCCCCATGGGAGGCCTGGGTGGAGCTCCGGGTCCTGGTTTTTGCCTGCATTTAGGGGAGATGTGAGCTCCCGCTCTCTCACTCCGTCTTTCGAGTAGATGCAAAAAACAAACATTCGAAGGAACTCAAATTCCAAGGCTCGCCCCTTTGCCTCGCTTCCCCTGGATTCCGGCCCTGACCCCAGACCTCTTGACCCATCAGCCTTCAAGCCGCTGCCCCGGGTGGGCCCTCCACAGAGGGTGGGCACATCCCCCCTCACTCCACTGCTGGGAGGATCCGTCAGCCTCTGGGCGGGGGTGGGCCTAACTGGGGTGCGTTTTTCAGGAGGACGCTGGGCTGAAACG